ACTTATCTAATATTCATCTACCTACCTACCTACCAACCTACCTACCTACCTACCTACTTACCTACCTACCTACCTACCTACCTACCTACCTACTTATCTACCTACCTACCTACTTATCTACCAACCTATCTACCTACCTACCTACCTATCTTCCTACCACCTACCTACCTATCTAGTACCTACCTACCTATCTACTTACCCATCTTTCCACTACCTTTATTCCTACCTACCTACCTACCTACCTACCTACCTAACCTACCTACCTACCTACCTACCTACCTACCTATCTTCCTACTACCTACCTACTACCTACCTACCTACCTATCTACTTACCCATCTTCCTACTACCTGCATTCCTACCTACCTACCTACCTACCGACCTACCTACCGACCTACCTACCGACCTACCTACCGACCTACCTACCGATCCTACTACCTACCTACTACCTACCTACCTACCTATCTACTTACCCATCTTCCTACTACCTGCATTCCTAACGACCTACCTACCGACCTACCTACCGACCTACCTACCGACCTACTTACCGACCTACCTACCGATCTACCTACCGACCTATCTACCTACCTACCTACCTACCAACCTGCCTACCGACCTACCTACGCTACCTATCCACCTACGTACCTACCTACCTACCTACCTACTTACCTAAATACTAACCTACCTACCTACCTACCTACCTACTCACCTACCTTTCTACCTACCTATCTTCCTACAACCAACCTGCCTACCTAGTTTCTTCCTACCTACATACCTACCTACCTACATACCTACCTACCTACCTACATACCTACCTACCTACCTACATACCTACCTACCTACATACCTACCACTCCTGTTTATCCCTTGAGTTCAGGCGGCCCAAACTCAATACCATTCTTACAGCAATAGAATACGATCTTTATCTTGGATTGAGAGCTATTCATTTATGTCTTTATATTCATTTTTCAAATTATTTCTTGTGGTCATTTATAGACAAATATTTTCATTTATACTTTTTTCTATTTTCTTGTCAACAATCTTTTTTTCACAATACTTATTTTAGTAAATACAAATTTATTTAGGAAAGTTTTAAAGAAAACTGCCTTGTAAATTAGACATGAATTCCATTGGTTCTTAAAAACATCAGATTTCAATCAATATTTCCTTAATTCTTTACAAAATGGTTTTTAAATCATGAGACAAATTTATACATTTTATTCATTTAAAGGGACTGTAATCGTAGTTTTAAATGACCCTCCATGCAAAGATGGTAATGCCCGATTCACGACAGTACCCTTGGAACTTTTATCTGATCAAAGATGTGGAAGATATTGTCGTTTTTCTAGATTTAAAAGTGTTTAAATCAGACAATTCAGATATGTCTTTCTACAGTAGATATGCACAAGTCACTTGTATAAAGAAGCCACAACTGAAAATAATCAGTTTTTAAAATTATAAACATTGATATATATAATGTATACTTGATCAGACAGAACTTTTAAGGGTACAGTTGTGAATCGGGCAGTGGTATCTTTGCATGAACGGTCACTTGAAATAACACTCACAGTCCCTTTAATGTAGCTCATCTCATTTCTAAAATTCTTTGACCGTTCTTGTAAGCCACGTGTGAGCTCTGAGAGCTCTAGCTTAACTGGTTTCTGCAAGGATAGGTTATAAGTTTATATAAATATATTTTAGGATGAAAACTGAATAGAATCTTGACTCAGGGTTATAAAGACAATGGGAAGTGAATTACATAAAATTGGTTTAAGTGAAAAAGTTTGAATTTATTTGATTACTTTGAACCTGATAGGATCGTGGAAGGAGAAGGGATCTTGATTACAATGGGAGAAAGTTTATTAGGGTTGGGGTCTTAGGAAGGACTTGTTTTAAGCATAGATAAAGAGAGATTGCGCATAAGAAGACATTTTTCATCTTAAAAGATATAAATATACAGAGATGTTTTAAAGATATTCCTATTATATAGATTAACTAGATAGGTTGTGAACATTGGCTGTTCTTATGTCATTGAGTACTTGTGGTGTACGTGAGTTCTGTAGAGAGAAAATTTAAGTTAGTTTAGTCCTTCTCATGTCCTTCTTCAGTTCTCGTCAATATGATATATTGCTCAGTGAAATATTTTTGTTAAAATAGTTCCATTCCCGGAGTTATTTTACACTCTATTATGAAATCCATTAAAACACCAAACCACCCCGCTTATCATTGAAGTACACTTTGACCCCTAGAAGTATGAGTTCGCGGACTGTACAATTATTGGTGATTTTGCGTACATAAGCTATCTATGTTTATTTATTTATCTATGGTTTTAAGAGTGTTTCAAAAATATTAAAACTCAAAAAAAATTTTCTCAATTATATCTTATTTTAAGGAGTTGAATCTTTTGTATAGGAAAAACAGTAAAGTGGAAAGGAACGGATCTTAATGACTGTCGATTTAATCTGAAAAATATTTAATATTAAAAATGATCTCTGTATATATCATGTAATGTATTGCTATGGATATTGATATTAACGGTAAGACATTTAATAAACAACAGTTCAACAGAAAAGAAGTAGTTATATACATACATAACAGCTTTGTTAGGAGATCTGAGCTGAAAACTTTAGAATGAGATATCCTTAATCTCAATTACTTAATCTGAGAATCCAACGAACACACTTTTGATTTTCTTCTTAAACCGTTCTTTCTTGGATATAGTAGAGAAAAATCAAAAACCGGTTTTTTAAATTAGAGAGTTCCTCCCATTTCTGTATATAAATCTTAAATGGCGCGCAAAATTTCAAATTTATCGGCTTCATATACGCGACTCTGATTGGTTGAATTTTGTACACTTTTCAGGATACCAGTACAAGATTAGGTTAGTCTCGATATTGAGAAAAAGAGATGATCGAGCGTTAATCTCGATATCCACCATTCTAAAGTTTTCAGCTCTGAGCAGTGTGCAATTCTTTTCACCAATCTAAGAATATTCCCTTGATCCTACCAAGTTCCAATCAAAGTTTGAGACAAATCAGTCAATCATAAGTTATGATCGGACACACAATAAAACTGACAGACCAAAAGAAATCGGTCTCTTTTCCACAGATTTTTCAAAACAAACAACAAATATTTATATTTTAGATTCATGATTACATTTTAGTGCATATTAAAGTTAACAACATATAGCTATATATATATATAAATATAAATATATATATATATAAATATAAACCCTTGAAGGTTAAAATGGCACTTAAGATCAAAATGTTTCTTGGACGACCCCCCCCCCTTTTATAGTCATTGTGCGAACTAAACTCACTGTTTACTAAAATAAAAACACTTTTTTCAGAGACACCTTTTATAATTAGAAAGAAGTTTAAATGAATAACAGATTTAAAGCATTTGGATTCAGATTCAGACCACCCAGTAGAGTACATTTATTAATCTCATCTTAAGATAGAAATCTGTAAATCTGCAATTCCCTTCTTCGTTTAAAGCTTGATGGACGTTTGCAATTAGAAGGGGTACTAGAACGGTTTTTGCACGGATATTTGAACCATCTTTTTGCCACCTATTATTCTTATCTTATGGTTTAATTGGAGGTATAGTCTAGTAGACGCCTAGTATGTATACACAGATACTCTAATAAAGGATTGGCGGGGGATAAAAGATATTATTTGGCAACGAAGAATAGAAAAATTAATTTGATTTTTAGGGGGGAGAGGGGGGTAGGGATAAATGATATAAAAAGAAGGGGAATTTGATCTAAAGATAAAAAAGAGGGTTTTTAAAAAAATAAATAAAAAAGTAAAACACTGAATTTGGGATTAAAGGAATAAGGAATTATAAGATATAGCAGATGATGTTTTATCGAAAAATTTTTTGATATATGTTGAATGTTAATAAGGCTGAATTTATGTATTTTAAATGAGAAATACGATTGTAAATATAACACGAGTAATTCGTTGCTTCTAACCATTAAATATAATAATTATTTCGAGGATAATAAGCTGCAATCCTGGACTTGTAGCAACTCTATCCCCGGATTTAAAAAGTAAACCCGGAGTAGGAACTCTAACCCCTGCAGCTGAGTAGGAACTCTAACCCTTGTAGTTGAGTAGAAACTATATATCCTCTGAGAAGGAACTATATCCTCAGATTATGACCTCAAACCCCAAAGTAGATACTCTAACCCCAGGAGGGAGCTCTAACCCGGGAGTAGGAACTCTAATCCCGGAGTAAAAGCTCTAATCCCGGAGTAGGAACTCTAATCCCGGAGTAGGAACTCTAACTCCGGAGTGGGAACTCTAACTCCGGAGCGGGAACTCTAACTCCGGAGTGGGAACTCCAACCCCGGAGGAGGAACACTTCTCCCGAAGAAGAAACTCTAATCCCAGAGTAGAAATTCTAACCCCAGAGAACTATAAGCATGGAGTAGAAACTTTAAACCCGGAGTATAAAGTCTAACCCCGGAGTAGGAACTCTAACCCCACAGTAAGAATTAGAGTATGAACACTTACCCCAAGAAGAAACTCTAACCCGGAATAATAACTCTGAACCCGTATACTTCGGACACCAATCTATACAGTCACGATATCTTAAAACTTGCAAACAATCCCCCACAGTTATAACAAGGGGGGGGGGGGTTAGGAGGGAGATATAATTACCAAAAGTTATGTAAACCATGGAAACCCACAAGACTCATATAAAAGGAGTATCTCTTCCTTGTCGGTCGGTGAAAAGGTCCAAGTGCAGATATTTTTTGTATATATAGTTGCAATGCATTTATTGAAAGTTAATTCTAAAAATAAATTTTTTTTAAAAAACTATGATTCCCAACTTTATTGATTGTATTGAAGTTACTTAGTAAAACAAAAATGTAATTTAAAAATGTAAAAAAATGTTTTGATTTGTTCAACAAAAATGTAGTAAAAATTGTACAGTACAGTATCCCTTTAGGTTGTATTCTCCCAATAATGGTTATGTTTTCAGTTGTAGACTTGTCGTGACCAGGATCCCAGGCAAACTTGGTTAATACTGCAGTGAAGGTATAAGGACTGATTGTATCCAGGTATCCTTTACAGTAGAGGAATAGGACTAATTGTATCCAGGTATCCTTTACAGTAGAGAGATAGGATTAAATGTATCCAGGTATCCCTTACAGTAAAGAAATATTACTAATTAAATCTTCGTATTCTCTATAGTAGAGAAATAAGACTAATTGTATCCAGGTTTTATCTGCAGTAGGGAAATAGGACTAATTGTATCCAGGTATCCTCTAAAGTAGAGGGATAGAGCTAATTTAATTCAGGTATCCTCTAGAGTAGAAGAATAGGACTAATTGTATCTAGGTATTCTCTACAGTAGAGGAATATGACTAATTGTAGCCAGGGTTACTTTACAGTAGAGGAATAGAACTAATTGTATCCAGGTTTACTTTACAGTAGAGTAATAGAACTAATTGTATCCAGGTTTTCTTTACAGTAAGGAAATAGGACTGTATAACTTATTGTATCCAGGTATCCGTTAAACTAAGGGAATTGGACTAGTTTTAGAAGAAACTTAATAAGAAATACATTTTTTTAAATAATGGAAAATGTTTGTATACGATGGAAAATATGAGAAGAATACAAAAATGATAATGGTTAATATATATTTGTATATAATGGAACATGTTGGGAAGAATATTAATGGAGAATATATGTTTGTATATAATGGAAAATATAGAGAAGAATAAAAGAATATTAATGGAGAATATATATATGTAGATAATGGAGAATATAGAGAAGAATATAAGAATATTAATAGAGAAGATATAAATGCAAATAATGGAATATATGGAGAAGAATATAAGAATATTAATGGAGAATGTATATATATAGATAATGGAAAATATAGAGAAGAATATAAGAATATTAAAGGAGAATATATATATGTAGATAATGGAAAATATAGAGAAGAATATAAGAATATTAATGGAGAATGTATATTTATAGATAATGGAAAATATAGAGAAGAATATAAGAATATTAAAGGAGAATATATATATGTAGATAATGGAAAATATAGAGAAGAAGAATATTAATGGAGAATATGTATATGTAGATAATGGAGAAAATACATAAGAATATAATAATATTAATGGAGAATATGTATGTGTAGATGATGGAGAATATAGAGAAGAATATAGATCTAGAAGAAAGTAGAAGAATTCTGATGGATTCAGATGAAGAGGTAAATTATAAATTTTTTAGTTTTCTCTTAAAGCTTATCTGAAGAATATAGATTATGATCAAGATACAAGATATGAATTGAAAACAGGGCAACTAAAATATCTGTATTCATGGATGCAGTAAATCACTGTAAACCAGACAGAAGGACTCGTGTAGCTCCACTAGTTTTTTTTTACTCACAATATGAGAAAAGGAAATTTATTCGGTTACATATTCGGTTACATATTCGGTTACATATTCGGTTACATATTCGGTTACATATTCGGTTACATATTCGGTTACATATTCGGTTACGTATTCAGTTACATATTCGGTTACATATTCGGTTACATATAAAGAGACACTAGACTTATTTTCCTGTCAACATTCTTTCCTAGATTGTTTACCATCCAATACACCCTACGGTAACCTTTAAACCTCTTTATAAGTAACAATTAGGAAGATATCGTCGTCTTGAAATGAATTGAATTCTGTCAAATTCCTTCAGTGGTTTGGGAGCACAAATCTATTAGCTTTGAAACCATAATTGAAAATAATCTAATCTTACAGCGAAATTTTAAGATAAGACGACAGTTTAAATGGTACCGTTGTTAGTCATACATGCAACTCATGGAGGGTCACATGAAATTTGACAATCATTAAAAAAGAAAATTACAAAATTTATTAATAAGAATAATAAACTATAAATCTGGTTGAATTATTGTATTTTCATGTTAAGATGAGTGGAGAACTACTAAATGTTCTAGAAGCTGACGATTCTACAAGTATTCGCAGGAATGACAATTATTCGTCTCACCCTGGACCAAGGTTGTATAGAGTATGGTTAGATACTCTGGATGCGCACCAATGTACTAGAAATGTCGTCTTCACAACATTGGACACTCAACATCACCACAAGACGTAACTTATCGTTGGCGGAACTTGAAGTGACAACGTTGCTGGAGAGAGGGGGGGGGGAGGATTTTTTTATTTTTCTGGAGCACGTATCCAGAGTATCTAACCTTACTATACAACCTTGACCTGAACTAACCAGAGCTAGATGTGTTCGGTTTCTTCAATATTTATAAAATAGTATTTTGGACTATAATTCAACAATCTTTTTCCACTTTTTCATTAAAAACGCAAATGTCGAAAAATTTTATAAAAAAGGAAAAAGGAAAAATGTTTACGATTAATTGGTCAAATTGCTGTTGAAAGTTTGCTGGGACAAGGACCAACTGTTAAATCAGTGTGATCTAAGTAAAGAGTGAAGTGATAAAAGGCTGACACAATTTTATAAATTTCTATTTGACCAATTTATCTTTTCCTTTTGCTTTGCTTGGCTTTGCGTTGCTTTATTTAGTTTTTAACAAATATTAGGAAAAATGGTAAATTTTTAGTTTTGAATTCCAGCGATAAAAATATAATTTGACCCCGAAATATGAAAAAAATAACATTCCAAGAGAATCGTTTTTGTTTAAAGATTAGTCATCTTTTTCAGGAACTGTGTACAGATCATTTCATTTCACCTGAATTTTTCAGATAAAAATTGGCATATCCGATTCAAGGATTATGGAAATATCCTCATTTTTAAAGCTTAAAATTGGGTGCTTACCTTTGTAAATTTGTCTGCGTGATATCCGGGGGATCATTTGACATAATGTCATGATTTCTATGGTGGGTTGTAATTCCAAGAAATTTAGTCTTTGCCACAAACGAAAATTTCTAATCCCAATATCTTTGCAACCTTATAGTGAAAATCTTTGTTATTTCAAACTTAGATTATTTTCTCTAACTGAATTCATTTGTTTGAAAAGTTTTAAGCTCTAGAACAAAGATAAAAGGATTAGAAAATCAGAGTTTGTGGCAAAGATTCAATTCCAATGAAGTGAATCGCTCTTTCGTACGTAGATGTTTTGATTTAGAAAACCTTTCTCAATGCTGTCTTTTCTTTGAGATATTTTAAATTGTTTCATGATAATAGATTGAGCTCTTATACATTCGAAGTTCCAGTCTCTCAGCAGGTATATATATTATAGTTCCAGTCTCGCAGCAGGTATATATATTATAGTTCCAGTCTCGCAGCAGGTATATATATTATAGTTCCAGTCTCGCAGCAGATATATATATTATAGTTCCAGTCTCGCAGCAGGTATATATATTATAGTTCCAGTCTCGCAGCAGGTATATATATTATATTTCCAGTCTCGCAGCAGGTATATATATTATAGTTCCAGTCTCCCAGCAGGTATATATATTATACTTTCAGTCTCGCAGCAGGTATAAATATTATAGTTCCAGTCTCGTAGCAGGTATATATATATATATATTACAGTTCCAGTCTCGCAGCAGGTATATATATTATAGTTCCAGTCTCGCAGCAGGTATATATATTATAGTTCCAGTTTCGCAGCAGATATATATATTATAGTTCCAGTCTCGCAGCAGGTATATATATTATAGTTTCAGTCTCGCAGCAGGTATATATATTATAGTTCCAGTCTTGCAGCAGATATATATATTATAGTTCCAGTCTCGCAGCAGGTATATATATTATAGTTCCAGTCTCGCAGCAGGTATATATATTATAGTTCCAGTCTCGCAGCAGGTATATATATTATAGTTCCAGTCCCGCAGCAGGTATATAATCTCTAGAAAACAGCAATTTGTCTGGAGGAGATTATCCTTTTTTGTCATTCCGGGGGTTGGTGGGTGGGTCCAAAAGCATAGCTTCACTTCTCCAAGTGAAGGCCCCGTATATAATGCCTTTTTTGTTGAAAAAGGAGTACCCTCGCTATCACAAACTTTTTAAAATCGAAATATCAACATTCATTCAATTATTATTTTTTTCAATTTCCAACTACCCTCGGTACTGCACACGTTTTTTATTATCTAATTAAATATCAATATTTATTCTTTTTTTTCAATTTCCCACTACCCTCACTACCACACGCTTTTTAATATGCAAATAAAAAAAGAATAAATATTTATTCTTTTTTTCAATTTATCACTACCCTTACTATCAGACATTTTTAAAATCTAAATATCAATATTTATTCAATTATTTTTTTTTCAATTTCCCACTTCTCTCACTGCCAGACACTTAACAAAATCTAGCAAGTCGTAAAGAAAAAAAAGAGGCAGTTTAAAGAATTTTCAAATTCTAATTTCTTGTTAAATTTCTTGTTTTTTAACTTTTTCATTAAATTCTAATATTTTTTCAAGACAAATGGCTGCTTTTTTACCAATTCAATTATTTTTTTTCGATTTCCCACTACCCTTGCTACCACACATTTTTTAGAATCTAAATATCAACATTTATTCAATTATTTTTTCTCAATTTCCCACTACCCTCGCTACCGCACGCTTTTTAAAATCAACATTTATTCAATAGAATTTTTACTTCAACTTCCAACTACCCTCGCTATCTTATTCTTTTTTTAAATCTGGAAACAAATCCTCATTTAATTTGATTTTTTCCAAGATCCAATTACACTCACTACAAATTAGTTTTTTTTTAAATTTAAGTATAATTCTCAGAACTTTTTTTAAATTTACACTACTCTTACTACCATTTACTTATGAAAAATTATTTATAAATTAATTCAATTTTTTTTTTGAGATTTATAGTATATTACTACCGTCAGTTTGTCTAACATAAAGCTATTGTTAAAAATAAGGCATTTTATAGATACAGGGCCCCCATAGCCCCACGACAGATATAACTTAATAAAGATCATATTGGCCATGAAACACGATTTTATTCAGAATTACGAGATTTTTCACATTTTTATTCTTGCATTTAGTGACTTACTTTAGATGTTAGATAGAATCAGATGTTAAAAAGAATTAGTATACTATACGTACTAAGTAGTTTACTAGCAATTAATATCGTTATCCACGAAATACGAATTCTTTATCAAATCCAAAACGAAATTGTAGTGAAGTATTTAATCTAAATGGAGCTTTTTTATAAAGTAATTAATTCTTTGTCATAAACTCAAATTTTTTAATCCCTATATCTTTGCAACCTGTTTGTGTATACCTTTGATATTTCAAACTTAGATTATTTGGTCTAACAGAATTCATATTTTGAAAACTTGAGTTTGTGGCAAAGACTCAATTTCTTTGGTTCATTTTTTTTCTGTGCAGTTCACTCAAGATTGGGAAAATACTAAATTAGTAAAAGAAGATGATGAAGAAGAAGAAGAAGAAGAAGAAGAAGAAGAAGAAGAAGAAGAAGAAAAAGAGGAGGAAGAGGAGGTACGTAACATTGTGATAGTTATTTCGATCAAAAAAATCTTTATAAAGTTGACAACTAAAATTTATTATTGATGCAAATTGCAAGATACTCATTTCTTATTTACAACTTGAATAAGTTTAGTTGATTGAAGACTTTACAACCATATTTGACCTATGAAATAGTTTGCGGCATCTGCATTAAAAGGCAACTTAACTTAAGTAATATTTTTTAATGAAACAATAAACACAAAATATTTTCCCTAATCGGGTCTGCCATTTTTTAGAGATACTAACAATTTTGTTTAATTTCAACTTATTAAATAAAACTATTACGAAATCAAAAAAAATTGCAGACCACATTTGGGAAATAGCAGGACTAGGGCTATTTTGTTATTATTATTTCTTATAAAGTTATTGCTAAAATTAGGTTGCCATATAAAATAGACCTCAAACTATTTTTATATTTTTAGTATCTTATTTATAGGATGAAGAATACGAAGTATCAAAAAGAGCACGAGCATTCAGTAGATCTAAACCCTCTCAGGTAGATGGTTCAGTAAAATAGGTCAAAACTTTTGAATTTTAAACCTGTTCATAACACGCTCAAACTGTTTCCCTCTTCCTAAGCAATTAATTTAAATTGTCTGTCACCACAAATTCTTTAAATCTTAGTTGATTTAAATCTTAAATCCTTAAACTTAAAAGTTTACGCTCTAGATGTTGGGTTCAGTCGATTTGACTACTGACTAAGCGCTTTCACAATCAAAAGTTTTTAGTCTCTGAACTCGTTAAGGCTGCAATTGTACCATCAGTTGATTTAATTAAAAACTATGGAAAAAGATCCAAAGTACAAGAACGAGATATTACATCTTTCAGTATTGCTTAAATAAAAGATTAAACAGGGCTCATTAATCAGATCGATGAATTTGATGATGATGAAGATGAAAGAAACGAGGAAGATGAGGATGATGATGATGATGATAATGATGTTGAGATCCGAGATGGATTTTATAACCCAAGGAATTGATTCAGTTATGATATTTTAATTCAAATTCATAATTAAGAATTGGAAAAATGAAATGTTTTGTTTTAAACAACCTCAAAAATATGAAAAGGTGGGGTTAATGAAAGAAAAGAAAGAAAAGAAAAGTAAATAACTAAATCATTTTTGAAAAATTAAGTAAGAGAATTCTTAATCTATTTTGGTAAAAAAAAATACATTAACACTGTCTGATAATCTGAATCTGAAATTAGGGAGTTTGAAAATCTTGATGTGGATGCAGACATTAGTAATATATTCAAATATATATCTAAATATAGAGCTAACTCAATACTTCTAGGTAATATATTCAAATATATATCTAAATATAATGATAAAGTATAATATATATGAAGTTGAAGTCTTAATTAATACTTATTTAAATTTTTTTAAATATTTTATAACATTTTGTTATTTTAAAAATTAAGTAGTATTGCAGTTTCAGAGCCATTTATCATCAATAGATAAATAATAGAGTAATAATGGAGTAATAATAGAGAGAGATAAT